TTTATATTTTAATCTTGAATAATGATATGCTAGTGCATTGCACCTGCAACTTAAGGGTTAATTTTTTTGTTTTTCATTGTTAAGGTTTTCCTGTTCTTAACATCTAGATTTTAACCCTATATACCCTTGAGTCTCCTCCCTTCCACTACTGACTTTGCACATAACATTATATTATAATTCCAGTTCTATCCTTTATCCATAAAAACGATTTAGCATCCGCTTGGTATAGTGGTTTAAGGATAGTGAGTTAAGATTTTGCTTAAACTGTAAAGAATATATATTTAATAAACTTATTTATTCTGAAATTATTACATATTATGTTATTTTGAACTCACTATAAATTAAGTGTTTGATCAAATTTTTTATTTAGTGATTTGGAACTAATGAATGGCAGTTAAGATTCAAACTACAAGCGGATTGAAAAAACTAATTTAAATAGCTTTTTATAATAAACCATTATTGGATTTGTTGTTTATTTATTTAAAATAATATAATTTTTTCTTTTTTAAAAATAAAAATGAGTGTGTTATTATACTATTATAATTCCGTTTATTTATTTTCTTATTAATAAGATTTTTATAAAATTAATAATTTTAATAATAAAAAACATTAAAGAAAAAAAACACTTAGAACTTATTTGGTATAATGGTTAAAATTTAGCGAATAGCTAGTAGTGGGTAGCAAGTAGTGGTAATGATAAGTTGTAGCAGGTGGCGGTTAACAAATAGCAGGTGGTGGATAGCGAAAAGCGAGTAATAAATAGTAAATAACGAATTCGATTGATATAATTATTTAGTTATATAATAGTTAGTAGTTGTTGTTTAGCGTTAAATGACTAATAAAGACATATTCAAAAACAATTAAATATCTTTTTTCTTTTTATATATTTTATTATTAAAATTATTAATTTTATAAAAATAATAATAAGAAACTAAATAAATAAATAAAATTATAATAGTATAATTAGACAGTCATTTTTATTTTTAACAAAGAAAAATTATATTATTTTTAAATAAAAATAGTAGCTAAAAAATTAAAAATGTTAAATCTTTCAATAAAATTTAAAAATTTCAATCTACTAGTAGTTTAATACAAAAAAACTACCGAATCTAACTTTTTTAATCCATTAGCGATTTGAACTCTAACTGCTATCTGTTACTTCTAAATTGTTAAATAAAATTTTTTATCAAACACCTTATTTGTAATGATTTTAAAATATACAAATGTATTGAACACATACCCTTCACGGTTTAGGAAAAACTGCTAACCATTATCCCTAAACCGTTATATCAAATGGGCCTGTAATTGCTTTCAAATATGTCATTATTAGTTATTTAATATTAAACAACAACTACTAACCATTATATAACTAACAATTATATTAATTGAAATCCGCTATGTACTATCCATCACCCACATCCACTACTCACTACTGCTATTTGCTACCTGCTAGCTACCATTCGTTGAATTTTAACAATTATACCAAACAAGCTCTTAATTTGAATCAACTCTAATAAGTTAGATTTAAGGGTTAAATTTATTAATAAATAAATATCATCTTATAAGTCATATTTAAGATTTAAGTTTTGGTGTTAATATTTAAAAAAGTTAATTTTTTAAAATGTACTAAACTTAGAGGGGTGTTCTTAAAATCATAAAAAAAAAAAAAAATTAGTCTTAAAATATATCAAAATTGACTCAAAGACTTGCTTATTGTCCAAGAAAAAGGCATATTACACCTGCTCCACAAGTTTATTGGGTTTAATAAA